AAAGTATGTGTGTCTCATACATGGTGATTGAATATGGAAGTCAGCAAGAATATGGGGCCTACTTGGTAATTGTGAAAGGATTGTGGAAATACTCTGGCTGACTCGCATCTGGATGAGGAAAATAGTATTGCATGTGGCCAACACTCGTCAGTAAATATACTTAGAGATGTTGCGCAAGACAAGAAACCATTTTGAGTACATTGTCGCAAAGAGAAAATAGGCCAAATACAAGGTAGAGGATGGAACATCTCCCCGAGGCCGGTGCGGTGGCGGATCCTGTGGTCGAGTCTTGCTCCCACGGTCGAAGGCAACGCGTGGATCCTGTGGTCAAGTCTTGCTCCCACGATCGAAAGCAACGCGTGGATTCTGTGGTCGAGTCTTGTTCCCACGGTCGAAGGCAACGCGTGGATCCTGTGGTCGAGTCTTGCTCCCACGGTCGAGGGCAACGCGTGGCGAAGGATGGAGATGCTGGACAGGTGGTTCTGGGTGGCTTCTAAACATTCTTACAGAAGGTTATCTTTACAAGGATATTTGAACCGGGAAAATATGGCAATTTGCACTTGCCATTCCAGGGCATATTTTCAGAACGGGTGTGCATGACATTGATGATGACGACCTCAAAGCCGGAATTGTTTGATGAACAAGTTGACACATCTCGTAACTTGCTCATGGCTGTCTTAAAGCGCAATCTTGACATACGTTAAATTCAATGCTGTGGAGATTCAAAAATTCAATTGCGTAGGATTGGTAAAAGCCATGGAAGAAAATAAGGAAGCCAAGGCTCGATTCTTCTTGACCCAACATTAATACTTTTTCTCATGAAAACATGGCTATGAAATTCTTGCAGCTCGGTGGGACATACTAAGGCGCTTCAAAAGCACATGTGCCGCACAACCCGAGGAAAACTTTTCCAAAATTTACTTGCTCATAGAATTCCTCATCTACAAGGGGCTATACAAAGGAAGAAAAAGTAAAGCTACAACTGAGAATCATCCCGACTAAAGGACTCGAGCTAGCAAAGAAAGAACCACCGACTAAAGGACTCGAGCTAGCAAAGAAAGAACCAAGAGTCCAAGAAGTTTACTAGGAAAAGAAGAATCATAGACAAGAGTCGCCTCGAGCCAGGACTCGGCGATAGGAAAAGAAAAGATAGGAAACAAGGGCACTGACCCTTAGATGTTTCCGAGAAAAAGCCTACAGGAGTCGCCTCGACTGAGGGACTCGGCGAGTATTGAGAGAAACGACGGGGCACTGACCCTAAACTGTTTCTGAGATAGAAAAAGCCTAATGGGTCACCTCGACCGAGGGACTCGGCAAGAAAAGATAGGAAACAAGGGCACTGACCCTTAGACGTTTCCGAGAAAAAGCCTACAGGAGTCGCCTCGACTGAGGGACTCGGCGAGTATTGAGAGAAACGACGGGGCACTGACCCTAAACTGTTTCTGAGATAGAAAAAGCCTAATGGGTCACCTCGACCGAGGGACTCGGCAAGAAAAGATAGGAAACAAGGGCACTGACCCTTAGACGTTTCCGAGAAAAAGCCTACAGGAGTTGCCTCGACTGAGGGACTCAGCGAGTATTGAGAGAAACGACGGGGCACTGACCCTAAACTGTTTCTGAGATAGAAAAAGCTTAATGGGTCACCTCGACCGAGGGACTCGGCAAGAAAAGATAGGAAACAAGGGCACTGACCCTTAGACGTTTCCGAGAAAAAGCCTACAGGAGTCGCCTCGACTGAGGGACTCGGCGAGTATTGAGAGAAACGACGGGGCACTGACCCTAAACTGTTTCTGAGATAGAAAAAGCCTAATGGGTCACCTCGACCGAGGGACTCGGCAAGAAAAGATAGGAAACAAGGGCACTGACCCTTAGACGTTTCCGAGAAAAAACCTACAGGAGTCGCCTCGACTGAGGGACTCGGCGAGTATTGAGAGAAACGACGGGGCACTGACCCTAAACTGTTTCTGAGATAGAAAAAGCCTACAGGAGTCGCCTCGACTGAGGGACTCGGCGAGTATATAAAGAAACAATGGGGCACTGACCCTAAACAGTTTCTAAGAAAGAAAAAGCCAAAAGGGTCGCCTCGACTGAGGGACTCGGCGAGAAAAGATAGGAAACAAGGGCCCAGACCCTTAGTCGTTTCCGAGAAAAAGCCAAAAGGAGTCTCCTCGACTGAGGGACTCGGCGAGAAATTAAAGAAACAACGGGGCACTGACCCTAAATCGTTTCTAAGTAAAGAAAAAGCCTACAGGGGTCGCCTCGACTGAGGGACTCGGTGAGAAATTAAAGAAACAACGGGGCACTGACCCTAAATCGTTTCTAAGTAAAGAAAAAGCCCACAGGGGTCGCCCCCTCGACTGAGGGACTCGACGAAAAAAAAGAAAAGAAGCAAGGGTTCCGACCCTTAGACGTTTCTAGAGAAAAAGAGAAAAGAAACAAGGGTTCCGACCCTTAGACATTTCTAGAGGGAAAAGGAGCTACCACTGAAGAGTCGCCTCGACTGAGGGACTCGGCGAATAAAGAAGGAATCGAGGGTCCGAACCCTTAGAAGTTTATTAAAGAAAGAAAAAGTTACAGCCGAGATTCACTTCGACGACTAAAGAGAAAGGGGCTCAGAGCCAGAATGTCACATCCACTGAAGCAGTCGGTCATACGGCAAACAAAGAGAAGTCATGGGGATGGAGTCGTGTAGAATGTTGAATAAAGAGTCGGCAAAAATCGAGGGGGCTAATAAAGAAAATTTTGAGGCAAGACAATATACTTTTCCATGCCCTGCTAAGCACGAGACATAGAAAAGTGAGGGACTAGTTGATGGGGTGTGAACCCCGTGGGCTCGGGGCCCAAGAAGAAAAGAGATAAAGCCCAGACAAAGAAGGGAAGCCCAAGAAGAAAATGGAGCAAGTCCAAAAGAGATACAAGCCAAACCGAGGAGTCGGTTGGCCCAGGAGTCGGCTCGACCCGGAGGTCGGCACGGGTAGAGGGTCGGACTAACTAGCCGTTATTCCTAATTATCTACCCTTAAAAGTCCTATTTATCTACCTCATCCATAACCCCCAAATAAAGGCTACCTATTAAGTCTCCCACTTATTACCCCACTAATAACCAAGTTAATACCTATTAACTACCCTACTAAATGGTCCAACGGACACTTTTGGGGATGAGCTAGCTATAAAAGGAGGAGAAGACAAGAAGAAAAGGGGACCATTCACTCATTCATCTACATGTGGGAGGACTCTCCCAAATACTACCACTCACTATTCTCTCATCACCAAGAAGGCTTCATCACTCTCCCAAAGAGGATGCACTCTTCCACAACCACTCTCCACTCGTCCAAGCAAGAAGACCACATGAAGAAGACTCCATATGGGAAGACTCCACCACTCTTCCACATACTCCATCTCAATGTACAAAGTATAGCTCTCTCCTTACACAAGATTTCCATATTACATATACAAAATAGCCATACAACATGTACAAAAACACCTACAAAATACATAGTGGAGTTAGGCTTGGCACCGCCCAAAAAGGCCCGTGGTTTTCCTTTCGGTTTCCACGTACAAAAGCATTGAGTTATATGTTTCTACTTATTTTTCTATAAGCCGCATGTGAAAGGTGAATCCACCGACCAAGGTTGTGTTGGACCTCCTTGGGCCCGAAAACCCAAAAACCAACAATATAGTAAGGGGAATTGTTGGGTAGTAAAAGATCAAGTCTAAGCACGTACATTGGCTTGCGAAAATGTATGTCGATATATAAGGAAATAAAGTTACGCCTTCATAATCAACTATAGTTTTTAGAAAAGAACTTTTTTTAGTTTTCGATATAGATAAGTGAAATTGATTGTTAGTTTTCATTTGTTAGATTCTCATGCAACAAAGCATAAATATCAAAATTGTCCAAATTAAACCATTACTAAGGATAATCAAATTGATGTACAAAAATACCGATAGTTTATATATAGAACACAAAAATTGGGGTGAATATTGAAATTTCATTGAATTGTAACTGCAATGCTTTAAAAGTTAAAATTGAATTAATTCCATCAGACCTTTCTTGTCTTTGGTGGCAATTTCAAATTTAGTCATAGACTATCCTTTTTGTCATTTAACATCACATACTATTATTTTTTGGACACTTTTAATCATTCTCGTGACTTTTTCTATTTTTAGTAAAGACATTTTTGTCTCTTCTTTTGTTACTTTTCCAGTTTCAACCGGTTTAATTGGTTTAAGACTTTACTAAAAATTGATATTTTTCTTTTGTTATTTTTTCGGTTTCAACCAGTTTAATTGGTTTAGGACTTTACTAAAAATCGGTTGAAAAATATGATTACTAAAAATCATATCAGAGGTTATCTAAAAGTTTTAAACCAATTAAACCAGTTGAAATCAAAAAAATAACAAAATAAAAATACTCTTACTAAAATAGAAAAAATAATCATAAAAAGAATTAAAAGTGTCCAAAAAATAATAATATAGGCCGGTAGAATTAACTCTTTTATTCTTATTATACAACGAGATGGACATATAGCGCAACCATGCATGCAAATACTTTACGTATAGTTTAATGGATTATACCTCAAGGGTTTATAACCTTTAACAAAGTCTCAAAGTTTGGGTTTGAGCTGTCCATGCAGGTCAAAAATCGTAAATCGTAGTCGGACAATTCAGGGTTAGAGCAAAAAATGAATGCAAATGAATAAATCTAATACATATAGCCCGACAAGATTGACCCAAAATGAATTGAACCGGCCCCTAACTTGCAAACAAATTAATTAAACTCCCCAATCATTATTGTCATCATTTATAATCATATAATCTCAAGTTAAATGAAATAAAATAGTTTGATATATACATTTAAGCGTCGTGCATGATATCTTATATATCAAACTACATATATAGTCTTATATATCAAACTACATATATAGTTAGGTTTCGTTCACTTTAAACCTACATGAACTGAAATTAGACCTTAATTAACTATTGATAATTTTTTTTTTTTAAACGTGCAGTGAATAATGTGGTATACACGTTGCTTGCACTATGTAGTGAAGCCTGCTGCCTGCAATTGAAAAACAAAATACTTATAAATATATGTATCCTTAGGAAATATATGATGAAATTAAATAACAAAAAATATATATAGTTTACAAGACACATAGTACATACGTTAAGATGAGATGAATGATTGAAATTTCAATGGTTTTCACCGCTGATAACCTTCAATAACAATGTGTTGAAGCTTTGGGTTGAGCTGCCCTTTGGCCCTACAGCTCTTTGGACAAGCTCTTTGTACACTTCAACTTGCCTCTTTAATGCCTTCCCCGTGTCACAAGATAGGACCAATTCAAGGGTATCCATTGTTCCATTCTTGGTAAAACCTCCCCCATCAACCCTCACCCCAATTCCCCATACCCTCTCAACCATCCAACAATTTAGATGGTGATCCCCAAAAAATGGCCTACAAATTATGGGCACCCCGGCAGTAATACTCTCCAGAACAGAGTTCCACCCGCCGTGATTTATGAACACTCCGATTGAACCGTGTCCCAGCACTTTAACTTGAGGTGTCCATGGCACTATTTTCCCAAACCCTTTGGTCCTCTCCAAGAACCCTTCTGGGAGATGGCTGGTAAACTTCTCACCCAGTGACCAAAGAAACGGAGTTTTGCTCTCTTCCAGGGCTTCAGCAATGGCGTTTAACTCGTTGGGTGGTGGCGTCGCCACCGTCCCGAAGGCTAGATATGCCACTGAGTTTGGGGGTTGAGAATCCAGCCACGAGATGCAGTTGTGGCGGTCTAGGTTGTCGGATGAGGGGGGTGGGGATGTGAGGTTGAAGGGACCGATGTTGAGGACGTTTGAGAATGTTGTTTTGAGATGATTTATGATGGGTGGATCCAATTCTTCGAAGGAATTGATGGGCATTATGGTGGTTTTCTGTAACGCACGACCCATGTTATGAAGCATCACTGCGAATGGTGAGTCTATGTTTCCAGTCACGATTCCACTGGGCATGTCGCCGAGACGTAGCTCAGACAACCCAGGAATGAATGTCACAATTTCTTCTTCACGTCCTATAATCATCGTTAGTTGTTCAGTGTAATCAAGAAGGTCAATAGATCATTTGGACAAAAAACTAAACCAGACCAGTCAGCTCAAATCAAGAAGATTAATAGTGGAAGTAGCTAGATCTTGTAATCTTATGGTTAAAATTAATGTTTTTTTTGAATTATTAATTACCTGGTTGGAGTCCGACAGTTTCCCTGATGAAGTCAGTATAGAGGTGGAGTAATAGCGAGGCAGCACCGGAGGTCCAAACAGGCACCCAAGAAACCCCCATCTCCGCCGCCATTTCACCGGAGAACCACAGGAAAGCATCCGCCACCACGCACCCGACTCTCATCCCTGACTCCTTCCCATCAGCTGCTGCCACGGCTGTCTTGAAATTTTCCGGCGCGGACTTGAGGAACATGCCGATCTCTTCCTCCACATTCCCTGCAAAGACGTAGCCCTCCGGCAAGCCGTCAGGCACGTCGCAGCGCTCGATGTTCCCGGGGATTTCAGAGGTGGTCGCAAATACCTTAGCGTTCGACTTGGCGGTGCTGAAAAAGGTGAAAGTCGCGTTGGGCGCAGCGGTGGCTAGGCGGCGCACGAGGCCGAACAGAAGTCCGGGGTGGGCTGCAAAGGGGAATGCTAGAACCGCAACGTGACCGCGTTGGACGAGTGAGGTAGTGGACGCCATGTTTGATCAGTTTACTTGTGATCTCCGGCGGCATTTTAATGGCAGAGCATGACTTGTAAAGATGGAGAGCAGGTGGCGTGCGTGCATGAGTAATACGTGACCCATAATTATGGAAAGATAAATTGCATATAGCAAAAGGCGGAAGGATTGTTGTACCTGAATCAAGAGATAATTAAGGATTCGGTATTATTAAGATATCACTTTCCATGCTATTTTCGCCAGTCATTTGTTAATACATCGTTACTTATATATATAGAGAATTCACAACCAACTGATCTGATCTTATGTCAGGTAATCCTAACTATAATAAATCCAATATATTTGGTGAAATTTCAGCCCAACAAATTTTACTTTTTTTCTTTTTTTTTTCTTTTTTTCCTTGCATTTGCGTGCAAGAAACCTCAAAATATTTTAAAATTTTACTTCGAAAAAATTTTATAGTTTTTTTTTCCTTGCATTTGCTTGCAAGAAACGTCCTGACAACATTTTAAAATTGTTGCTAGGAATGCTTTTTTTTTTTTTGAAAACAAATGTTGCTAGGAATGCTAGCTTCTATTTCCTATGCGGCTATGCACCTCATAAAATTTTTTTTGATGATGCATACAACACAAGCTAATAGGTACATATTTTTTAAATTAAATTTTACCACAAAACAGTCTATAAAAGATGGTTCTGTAAAATTAACACTGCTTGTTAAAAAAACATAGAAACTTGAATGACATGTACAAATCTCGAAGTTAACATACTAACTCTAAGTTTCAGAAAATTTTACAAAATTATCAAAATTATTGTCGTTATCATCATCGATCGCATCTTTACGATCTTCCATAAAAATTAAACCATTAAGGTTCTGTTACCAAGGCTCTTCCTCCTAAATTTCCTTTTGTTGAACCAGAGCCTCCTTAAGTATCTTCAAGCTCATAACAGACGATATAAAATGCAAAACATATTGAAGTACATGAGAATATAGTTAGAAAAATGTAAAAAATTCATACAAAAAGAAAGCGGAGAGATGAGTATGAAATTCTTTGATTGAAGAAGCCCTTGTATTTATAGGTAAAAAAAATACTAATTTAAAAGGAAAGTATAATAATTTATTTATTTAACGTAATAACATTATTATTATTATTATTTTTATTATTATTAGATTACAGAAATGACCCTAAGTTTTGAGGGGAAAACTTGGCTAGGAAGATTTTACTTTTATATATATATATATATATATATATATATATATATATATATATATATATATATATATATATATATATATATATATATATATATATATATATATACACTAATAAGAGCCCAAGAGAGTTAGCCCTATAATGGATAGAAAAAATGGCGGTCAAATTTTTTAATCAAATGAATGGCTCAGATTGATCAGATTTTAATTTTTCTTTGATATTTCCTAATTTATCCTTAAAATATGATTATCCGTTAATTTTTCCGTTAAATATTATCTTTTCCGTTAATTTCTGTTAGTTTACCGTTAACTTACTCATTGATTTCAACAAGAAAGGTCTTAGGTTCGAACCACATCCCAATCAAAGTTTGCATAATTAGTACTCTATTTTACTCTTATTAAATTATAAAATAATAATTTAGTAGCTACAACAAAAAATAATACATATGCATTTCTTTAATTTAGAATTATGTGTCTACAATGTCTTTATTCCAAAAAAAATTATTCATTATCAATAAATTAAATAAGAGAAATAATTTCATTAGTTATATTGTCTTTATTTCTCTCCAATATAAAAATTCTTTACATTCAAAATTCAAATTCATCAATTGATTATATTCGCTACATTGAATGTCTCTACAATGTCTTTATTAAAAAAAATTATTCATTATCAATAAATTAATTAAGAGAAATAATTTCATTAGTTATATTGTCTTTGTTTTTCTCCAATGTAAAAAGTTTTTACATTCAAATTCATCAATTGATTATATTCACTACATTATCCCAATCGCGCAATGCGCGTAAAAAACTAGTACATATATAACAATGATTGTTCCATTGTTCACTGGCAAATTATTACTTTTTTTTTTATTTATACTAATATGTGAATGGAGTAACACAATCTGAAATTGTATTTGTTATTTATTTCTACTTTTTAAAAATCATTATTTTTGTTTTTACAAAAATTTAGAAAAAATCAAATATAGCTAGATTTTTAATAGGTTAAACAAATACTCAGGTTGTGATATATATATATATATATATATATATATATATATATATATATATATATATATATATATATATATATAAAGAGAAATTTTTTTACTATTACATGAATAGAATATGTAATAGTAAAAAAATTTCTCTTTATATATATATATATATATATGTGTGTGTGTGTGTGTGTGTGTGTGTGTGTGTGTGTGTGTGTGTGTGTGTGTGTGTGTGTTTGAATCAAACTATTTACATACATTTTACAGCTTCAATAAACCTAAAGTAATATGACTACTTCAACCATTATTGGAAGAAAAAGGAAACAACATTTAAAAGAGCTTCAGAGTGCTAATAGAAGCATTGCCACTATTTACCCAGAGAGAGTTCCAGGTAGACATGGATGATTAATGAAGATGGCGAAAGTTGTTGGAAACTAAGCAATTACATGTTGAAGCTCTTCGCCTGAAATCATCGCCATTGAGAGAGAAAAGTGCAGAAGACGTTACATGAGAAGAGAGAATGAAAAAATGCAGTAAGTTGTATTGAGTGTTGAATACAATATAAAGGGAGAGGGAGAGGCGGTTACAAGAGGGAAAGAAAGAAGGAAAAAAGATATTTTCATCTTTTATCTTTTTTATCCTCCAACACCCCCCCGTAAGCTGGAGCGTGTAGATCCTACATGCCCAACTTAGATACGAAAAAAAAAAAAACGAAAAGAAAAGAATCAATAAAACTGTTGCTTAGAACATGCAATTATTTTCCGGGAAGAACAAGCAATTCAGAAAGTCGAATTAATGTCAGCTTTCTCCTATCACGCAGCTACTGCTTCACCGTGGAGGAGCATCTGGTCGAAGCGCCACATGCCATGTCCTGTGTGCACTCTTCTCAACTGGGCCATATATTCAGATATCTTCCTGATTGATTCCTTTGGTGACTCACCACCATCAGAATAGTAGATTGAACCAATCAGATTGCTAAATTTATCAACACCCTCGAGAACAATTCTAACATCTCTATTTAAAACACGAATTTCAGTGATATGTTTGGCTTCTCTGCCATATGGGTCAGGTGAAACTTCTGTTATGGATGCTGTCGAAGCTGCAAGTCTCTCTGCTGATGTTAGAGGTGCACGAGGATCAGCCGACGAATCTCCATTTGCTTCGCTAGGGGATATTTCAGTTTCAACAGGAGTCTCAACTGTTGCCCTTCTTCCCATAGAAGGTGGCTGAATTCCAGCAACAAAAACTTGGACAAACTGGAAGTCTGGAAGTAAATACACACGGAGTGTGCTTCCATCACGAATCTGCTCAACAATAGCTTGCATAGGTTTCCCTTTGTTTGCATCCAAGAGACCCATTGCATCAAAGTTACTAGAATCACCAATGGCAGAGGGAGGTAAGTTCCTGACGGATGCATAATGAGCACCAGGCTCCCTGTTCCAACGACCTAGACCTTGTTGTTTGGCATTTTCTTCAAGGCGTAGTAGTTCTTGTAAGAAGGGGCTAGCTTCTCCCTTCTGTTGACCCTGTTCTCTAACCCTCGCCCAGCCTTCAGCAACAACCAACAATGCAATGTTCTTATCGCCAAGGAAAACGGAGCCACTCGGCACCACACTGAGCTCCTTCTTCACTTCCTCATACGACTCAAAAATAACGCCCGTCAACGGCTTGTTGTTCGATCTATTGGAAGCACAAACCACGAGCGCATTTCCATTTCCGGCTTTGGCCGGAAGACCTTTCAACGACGAAGCAGAGAAAAACAGTGGACTCAGATAATCCCCATGGGAATTCAATCGGAAATGGAAAATCTCACCACCTCCTATGACAATGAGAGACACAACCGCTGTGGCTGGATTGTAGTTCCTCTTCGTGAATAAGTTCCACTGCGAAACAGCTATGGATTTCGCCATAATTGGAGATCGAGCGACCGGAATAGACGGAGCTCCTTCCTTCCCCTGCGGAACGGTTGTGGAGGTCGCTTGAATAGAAGATCGACTCGGAATGAGAGACACAGCCCTTGCGGCTGAATCGGAGAACTGCTCCATCTGCTTCAATCGGTGTGAGCAACGAACTCCTTCCTTCCGCTGCGGAAAGGCTGTGGAGGTTACTTGTATTGGAGATCGACTCAAAATCAACGGACTCACTCCTTCCTTCCGCTGCGGAACGACTACTGAATTTTGCTTCTCCGAACTCAGATTCCTCTGCGGAATCATTGACGATGCTGATCTAATTGGTGACCGAGCATAGGTTTTGTTGCTACGCATCCTCTGCGGATGGATCGAAATTATCCTCTGCGGATGACTCTGTTGATTCTCCTGCGAAAACGCTCCTGGAGCAGCAGGAGGTTGTGACTCATCGATCGGAGAAGTGGCATTCGGCGTCTGAGTCTGGCCTATGCCGGAAGTAGCGGCGGCGTACAATCGGAACCGGAGCTCTGATACCATGTTGGAAACTAAGCAATTACATGTTGAAGCTCTTCGCCTGAAATCACCGCCATTGAGAGAGAAAAGTGCAGAAGACGTTACATGAGAAGAGAGAATGGAAAAATGCAGTAAGTTGTATTGAGTGTTGAATACAATATAAAGGGAGAGGGAGAGGCGGTTACAAGAGGGAAGGAAAGAAGGAAAAAAGATATTTTCATCTTTTATCTTTTTTATCCTCCAACAAAAGTTACCTTGCAGCAGCAGCAGGAGGAGGCAACGGAGGCTCAGAGAAAGGGAATAGCGCCCCGAAAGATTTGCCAGTTCCCCCGAAGATTAGCATTCCCGATGTCGTTTCGATGGTTACCAAGAAGGCGAATACGACATCAAGGTTAATGTCTAAGAAGGGGCAAGCTGGCGCCAGTCCAGCAGCATCGGGGCTGAGCAAAGACGAGGCGCTTCAGAAGCAGATCCTGGCACTGCAAACCACGGAAGAGGAGAAGGAGACTTTGCTCAAAGATTCAGAGAAGATCAGAGAACTCGAACAACAGCTTCACGGAGTTCAGAATCTCAATCAAACCGTCAACAACCAGAGCAACTACGACATTTATAAGTGCATTACTGAAGCGAGTTGCAAAGTTGATGACCTCTCCGGGAAATTACAAAGTGTGTTGCCAGATGAAGGGGTCAAAGATACATCTTCTGACAAAGCTGCAAATGCTTCATCAGGTGAAAAAACAGATTCCAGAACACAGGAGCAGCCAAATAAAAGATATTGATAGATGTTCATGTTCATCAGTCTCAGGAGACCAATTAAGAGACAACAAACAACAAGTTTAAGAAAGATGGAAGTGTTGCAGTTCCATCCACCGGTCAAACAAAGGGGTTTCAAACGTGTGAATCCAAAGCCACTGCTCATAGCGCTTCGGCCATCTCAGGGGATGAACCCGTTGAAGAGAAACAAACAAAAGATGGCAATAGAGATCATGGTAATCTGCACCCAGCTAAGAAATAAGGAAAAATTTTAATCTCGTTAACTGGTACTGACTCATATTCTATTGCAGGAATACATCAAGATTTAAGTACACGCGGGGAGCAAGATGAATCTGGCACAGAAGATGTTGAGCCAAACTGGAAAGCGCTATTTCTAAATGGTTTGGATGACAGAGACAAGCTTCTGCTAGAGGAGTACATCTCGGTCCTAAGAAATTACAAGGAATCGAAGAGGAAGCTTAATGAAGCAGAGAAAAAAAAAAAAAGAAAAAGAGGGTTAACCACTTCCAATATGTAGTTCAGATGAAAGTACTGAACAATTCTATTGCCTTAAAGGATGCAGAGATCCAATCTTTCCGGAAAAAATTAAAGCCGCTTCATGGGGATCATGTGGAAACTATAAAGTCGAATGAAAGCACAACTAAATCTGGCGTTGAAGCTACAGATGAAAACACAAGTAAAGCTGACCATGAGGATAAGGTTGAAGACAAAAAGTCTAAGCATGTGCATAGAAGGACTCTCTCTGAATTATTAGATGTTCCAATCCCTGAAGATGCTCCTGCAAAAGAAGAAGCAACATCTAGAGTGAGTAATCCTAAAGGTCTCAAGATTTTAATCTAATAGTTGTAATTCAACCATTAATGTAGTTTACAAAGAGGTCATTTATAATAATTTCTCATTTTATAACACTAATGCTTATTACTTAGTATGTTTAAATCTCAAATTTAAAATCCTACAAGAATTGTAATATCCACATAAAAAATTGATTATTTTACAATAAACAAACATAAATTCATTAGTACTAAAATTTTGATCCATGCATCGCACGAGTATTATACTAATATTAATTAATTTACCCAACCATCCACTACTCTCTCCCACAACCAACTTCACGGCCAATAATACTTTAAAAAAATACACATAATATATAAAGTAAACCGGCCAACTTAAGTTATTTGATTAGGTTAAATCAAGAAGAAGTTAAAATTGTGTGATTAACAAATCAATCACCGGATAAACTTAACTGATCTAGTTGTCGAAAATCAACTCTAATCTTTGATGTTCATGTACCCAAGTGGACTAGCCTACTCTAGCTACCATTTAATAGAACTGTACTTCAAATAACTGTGTAAATCATGCATGGTTCAAAAACAACGTCATTTCGGACAAATTTTTTTTTCTTCACGCGACCCACTGCAGCATACATTTTTATAACTCATAATGTACATTATTCTAACTCATATTATCTTACCTCTGAAGTTTCATTATTCTAACACATACTATAACTCATAAAATTCTTAACACATATTATAACTCATCAGCAAACTAACAGGTAAACATGTCACTTTTAGTTCAGTTACATCATTTTGCGCTATTCAGAGGCCCAATTACATTTTTTTTTTAGTTTCAATGGCCTAATTATATTTTCGTGTGTAGTTCAATAACCTAATTGATTATTATTCCTTAGTATTATTATTACACAACAATATTTTAGTGTTTATACTTCTTTCCTTCTCATTCTTCATAATTATATTCCTCCCTAACAAATAATGGTATTTAAATTTTACCTTATTTTATTTTATTATTTTCTCACCAAATTACAATTCATTTTCTCCCTAATTCATTTCTTCCCACCAAAAGCCCAGTAAATGTTCACCCGTTGGCGCCTAAATGGTTAATATGCTCTTGCTCTAACTATCAAACAAAAATATACTGAAAAACTTGTTTTAAAAGTTCAAACACCTTCGTGATGTGCTGTCTTTTTCCTAACTCTGTTAGGGTTTATTTATCGTGGATCAAAAGCACTGCATGTCTGCATCGTTGTTAATTAATTTGAAGATAAACAATGAATTTAGATTTTTATTGCGTTTGGTAAACCATAATTGTACGAGAAGAACAGTTTGCTGACCTTTTTAGTGTCCATGAAAACTCTGGACTATTCGACTGATCTGCTCTGGTTGAGTTCATAGGGTATGATTCTATACAAAGCTGTCGCTTACTAAGCTACCATTTCAGCGATTTGCTTACTATTATGATCAGTTTCACCAAGCAGACCTTCAAGCCCGCTATCGCAATCCCCAAACCCAATTCCGCGTCAGCTTTCTCTGGCCGGGTATTGAGTTTCAGGTCCGATTTCGGATCGGAGCCCCTGAAGATTCACACGGGAGGTAGAGATTTCTGTTACCGGCTGTTCCTGCTGGATCGGAGTGGTGGTGAAATGGAGCTGGTTAGGAAATTGAGCCGAGGGTGCTTCTCAGACCCGCCGAAGGATGATCAGGAGGTTGAATTAGAGCCGGTTGAAGGCGGCGAAGATGTTTTTGATGCTGCAGTTGCGGACTCCGAGGTCCAGCCCGAACACCTTGTGATCATGGTCAATGGACTTATTGGGAGGTGATTTTGTTGATTTAAGCTTTTCAGATATATGTATTTTGTCATAATGTTTCTATGCGTAGCAGCATATGTATTTGAATGTGGTCACTCTTGTGGGTAGTCTGCAAATGTATGAATTTTTCCTTTGGTACTCTGGCATAAAAATATGGAAATTATGTCTTTGCCTGAAGGTAATGGTGTTTCATCTAGTTAGGAAGAGGAAAAAGTATGCAAAATTTCTAAGCATGCAGCTAATCAAATGGATATGAGACCATAGAGATAGTTAGCAATATAATTGGGGAGTGGATCTGCTGCTAGAAAGCCTAGAATAGTAATTTATCATTTTAGCTTGTCAATATTATTGATCTTTTGCCATCAGGCTAGCACATATCAAGAATCAATTTGATATTCTCATATGCTTTTTGAGTGGGAAATTGATCAGAAGACTTATTTTTGCTTTTGTGTGTCTTTCTTCTTCTTCTTCTTATTCTTCTTTTTAAGGTTTTTTAATCTTTCTTCCTGCTTCTTTCTAGTGCTGATGATTGGAGATATACTGCCAAACAATTTGTAAGAAGGCTCCCTGATAGAGTTGTAGTTCATTGTAAGTAAGTTGACCTTTGCTCTTGACAAAACCAATTGTTATATGATATAATTTTATTTATTTAGAGTGGAGAGAGAATGATGTCATCACAAAATGGGTGGATTTTCTGGCTGAAAGAAGTAATGACTTGGAAGAAAGAATGGGACAGTTACAGAGGGAGACACTTGACCTTGAATTGTTAGGAGTGGATGTCTAGACGAGCCACACTTGAACCCATTAGGCATTGAGGATTGCCCTACACTGGTGGGAAAACTTCAAGAGCTCAAATATAAGTAGGATGCAATGGGTTCATTTGCAATTAAATGTTAACTACTATGATGGGTTGCATTTTTCACTTTTAATATACTTGTATTATCTTTTTTGTTTTTGGTCAAACAGTGAGCCCTAATGGCATGGTTTACTTAACTTTAGATCACTAAGTGAAAATTATGTAGCTGTAATTGAGCTGGAACCACACACTACTGGCTGTAGAAATGCTAAGACAAAATCCTTGAATTTGCAGACTAAATATAATTTTGTTGCTTTTTTGGTATTATTAGGTAGTGAATGCAATCATTCACGATTAACTTTTGACGGCGTTGATCGAATGGGTGAAAGATTGGCTGAAGAGGTATTTTGCTAATAACTTGTGGTCCTCATCTTTAAGTTACTCAATTATTTTATTTGAATTTCAATTTATTGGACAGTCTACTTTGCAATGCTTATTTGGGACATATATATACACCTCTGCCTCTTTGTAGTGCAGGTGGTGGAAGTGGTTAAACGCTGGCCTGGATTGCACAAAATCTCTTTTGTTGCTCACTCTTTGGGCGGACTTGTTGCACGATATGCTATTGGGAGGTTATATGGGTCTTCCACAAAAGTTGAAGTAAAAGATTTTAATGGTTTCTGTTCAAGTGTGGATACAGATGGCGGTGTGCGTGAGAAGTTTGATGATGAAAGGATTGCCGGATTAGAGCCCATTAATTTCATAACAGTTGCTACTCCACATTTGGGTTCCAGAGGACACAAACAGGTATAAATGTTAGTTTTTTGGGTTTTGTACATCTTTTTTTGGAAGTTCTTGCTGCATCTTGCTCAATAATTTTTTTTTCTCCTGCTTTAAGTGATTTGATTTGTCCTTAGATTTCTTATTGGGGAATGATAATCCCAGAGCAAATCTTTTAGTGCCAGAGAGCTAGGTGCAATCAGAGGAACATACAAAATTGATTGCTCCAGTAACATGAAATTACTCTAGCCGTATGCATAGTCATTTTGGTACTCTTCTGTCACATTCACAAGTGACTTTTTGAATACTCTAGGTGACCTTTCAAGTCACCTTTGTGATCCTTCAATTGGCACCCATCTCACCTATAAATATAGTCACTCCCATTTGTGTACCAAGTGTGCTTGAGTGAAGACTCTCTTGTGTGCAAGGTGCTTGAGAGCTTAGAGTGATATACACTGGTGTGAGATCCTGTGTTATAGTTTGGGAGTTCCCCCCTTTGAGTTGTACCTTTCCCACCCTAAAGAAATTGCCATCTTTCTCTCTTTAATATAATTTTCTCTTTTCTTGTTCTTATATTTTGTCAATATGTTACTGTTTTTGTGTGGTTACAAATAAACCTCTACCTGAACAATATTTGGGTCACGATCCTGTTGAATTCCTAACAATAGTTCATGTGTATGAATGTATGGTGGCTCAGGCATACGTGTGAGAGATAGAGAGAGAGAGTGTGTGTTTAGCTTGAAATACTGTAACTAAATCAGCAACTTATATCTCTGCTCCTTACACCTATTATGTAAGTTACTGAAGCCAGGTTGATGTGCCTTGCTGTCTTTAATATTTACCATACTTGTTCGTTTCTAAGCATAATTGATTGTTACTTTTGATGAAGAAAGCGTAAATTGCCATCTTTCTCCAACTGTGTTCTTTATGGATCTTCAGCTGCCTCTGCTCTGTGGTCTTCCTTTGTTGGAGAAAGGAGTATCTCAAACTGCACACTGGATTGTTGGGAGATCAGGGAAGCATCTCTTCCTCACTGATAATGATGATGGAAAGCCTCCTCTTCTTCTTAGGATGGCTTATGACTCAGATGATCTCAAGTTCATGTTAGTAATAATCTTTTCTTTCCACTTCTCATTTTGGGAATGAATCAGCTGATACAACTTCCTGTACTAAATTACATTACTGATTTACTAACTTTGTCATTATCTTTACATGTAGATCAGCTTTACGTTCTTTTAAACGGCGTGTGGCATATGCGAACGCGAACTATGACCGTATCCTTTTGCTTGATTCTAATTAATCATGGAGCTAACTTCAATATAATTACATAACATTTACATTTCATGGTATTAGCAAAATTTCTCCCTTTACCAATCTTTAAGATGTTGTTGGATGGAGTACATCTTCAATCCGCCGTCAAAATGAACTTCCAAAGGTTTGTATTGTCTCCCCCCCTCCCCTCTCTCCTAAAGCTCATTTAGTTAATATGTTTATCTCAATTGATTGTTCTTTTGAATTTTTTTCTTCCTCAGTCGAACTTTCTTGTCAATGATTTGAAGTACCCACATATTGTACATGTGGAGCAAGAAAGTGCTGAAGATGTCAAGCATAAAGCGTCTTCTATTCTTGGAACAGAAACAATTGACTTAGAAGGTTTTGTTAAATCATTTCATTTGCAACCGGAATCCCTAACCCTGTCTTTTCCCCAGTTTAGTTATCTAAAGGAATTAGTATACTGAAAAAAAAATTCATGTGCTCCATAAGTTAGATAAATATTAGCTTCCCTGATATAGGTTCCTATTGCTATATCTCTATCCTTCCTCCTTCCCCCCTCCTTTTTTCTCTTTTTTCCTGCTATAATAATAATAATTATTATTATTATTTTAAAGCTTAGTCCCCATGTCTCTTGTATACCGAGTATTTTTTATTTTTCAAAAAAGCAGTAGAAATCTCCAGCCCAACTGTCATTAAAGAAATCTTGTTTTGTTGAAAGAAGTGCTTCTTTGTGTTCTGATGAGAGTTTTTGTGCAGAGGAGATGATCAGAGGCCTGACTCAAGTACCATGGGAGCGTGTTGATGTTAGCTTTCATAAAAGCAAACAAAGATATGTTGCACATAATACCATACAGGTACTTATCAACCTATGTAAGGATGTGGTTCCTAAGAACCTAGGACTAAATTTACATCACAGATGACTAAGGGATTAAATCTAGAGCAGAAATCAGATATTTGGCATTTGATTAATTGCAACTTGTGTTCATTATTATGCTGCTATTTTCTGTTCATAAAAGCAAACAAAGATATGCTGCTTATATCATGTGCCCTCCTCCTCCTCTATAATATAGGTGAAGAGCTATTGGATGAATTCGGATGGTGCTGATGTGATTCAGCATCTTATTGATAATTTCCTTCTCTAGTTGTTGATGGGTTGGGTTACTCAGCACCTTTCAGAATCCTTTCCTGATGAGTAGACAGACAGACAGACATTAGGCATAATTGCCAAACTACTTGGTGTTGAAACTTAGTGATGGATGGATGGCGTTGTATACTTTTTTTATTTTTATTTTAGTACTGCAGTCTAACTTATATATAGTATATTTGTTCAACATGATAATGTCAACATCCTTGATTGAGATGGGACTCGAACCTGAGACTTTTCTTTTAAAATGGTAACGTGTCATCAGACCACAAGATACTTGGCATGGATGGCGTTGTATATGTGCTTGTTAAAAATGAATATGGTTGATGAACTTTCATATGTGGATTACCTCATATTTCGGAGGGGGTTGTACTTGTACTGGCCCATCATATTAGTACTTAGGAATTATAAAATCAGTATCTAATTGTCGTGTCATCATTATCATTATCTATATGTCTTAAAAAGTTGGTAAAGGGTCTGATATAAACGTGGATCAAAGACCTCCCCCGATTGATAAGCTACAAGACACTAGGGGTGTAACCGAATCGAATCGAGTCGTTTAATATTCAATTTGAATTTGACTATATATTTGTATTTGTATTCGTTTAATATTTGAATATTCGTATTTGTATTCGTTTAATATTCGAATATCAAATTTGATTCGTATTCGATTTGACCAGTTTATTTGAATATTTGGATTCCACTTGAATATTTGAATTCAAAATGCCTAACTTAATTTTTTACAAAATTTTTTAATAAATTAAGATAAAATATAATAACAATTTATATTTAAATAGCATAAAATATTCGAATATATTCGAACACTATTCGAATCTAATACACTCTAATTCGTATTCATATTCAAGAAATATTCGAATGGAAAAAAGTATTTGGATTCGTATTCGAAATATTCGAATTCGAATCAACATATTCGAATTTAAATATTTTTTATTTGATTTGTTTACATCCCTACAAGACACTAATGACGAAATCTCAAGCTTATGAATCAAACTCTTTCCATTAAAATAATAATTCATGATTATATGAATTCTACAACAATATTAATTTGTTACTTTTGTAATTGTTTTATTTAATATTAACATCTAGCAATCTTTTCAAAAAATTATCATAAACACTAAAATTTTTCAATAATTTCACTATAAACTTCTCATTTATTATTTATATCTAATATTTTATTTGAATATAATATTAATTTATAAATTAATAAATATATATTTTACAAACAGTAATGCTACTCATTTTTTTTAAAAAAAAATTCCACATAATTTTTCTTTGAGAAAAGTTTTCCTTTTACAAATTAAATAATAATTTACAAAAATAATATAGGGAAAATGACACTTTTTCCCCCTGAGTTATATACTTATAACACTTTTTTCCCCTCAATTATTTAGGTAAACACATTAGCCCCCTCAATTATTCTAAAAGTGGTGCTTTTTCCCCCCTGATATATTAAATTGACATTTCTATTCTTAAAGTAAACATTTTATTTATTTTACTTCTCAAACAAATTATTGCGTATACGTAGGGATGACCACGGTTCGATTTGAACTGAACCGGACACTAAAGCAATCGAATTAAAAGTATCCGGTTATGATTCAGATCTAAAACCCAATATTTAGATGTCAATTTATTAAAATTATGTATAAAAAATTTGAATCTTGAACCGTAAACCGGCGGTTCCGGATCCGATTCGCGATTTTGAACTGTCTTTATTTTAAAATTTTAGTTTTTATTTTAAAATAGTCAAAATTCAACAATAAATGTATTTTATTTTTTTCAGTTCGGAACATGAACAGTCCGCTCCGGTTCACATTTTAATAAACTCTAAATATCGGGTTTCGATTCAAAATTGTAATTGGAATATTTCGGTTTGGTTGCTATAGTGTTTGTTTGGTTTGAACCAAATTATGGTCATAATTTGTTGGAGAAAAAAAAATAAATGAATTATTTATTTTAAGGATAAATATGTCCATTTAACATTTCAGATGAAAAAATAGCCACTTCAATAATTCAGGAGGAAAAATACTATAAGTATATAACTCAGGGGGAAAAAGTGTCATTTTTCCAATAATATATTTATAAACTCTATAGCATTGTCGAGGTAAAAAAAAAATCGAAGATATTATAGGAAAATATGTTCGAAGGATATGATTTTATATTTAAGAGTTTTTTTATGGTGGTTGAAGTTAATAACAAAAGTAATAATTACAATTTTAGAAAGAAGTATTAATTATGATATCATCGATATTGCGTATTACTTGGGAATAATTAAGTTAAGATTAGTTTGAAATATAGTAGTGTACTAGAAAATCTGAAGTGCCACATCAGGTTTGAGTCACCTTATCACCTAGAGTCCTAGATGATTTCGAATTTCAGTCAACACTCAACACGTACGTACAACATAATCCGAAAGCGAAACCCAATTCCCAAACGTTTTACCTTTGTTTTCCAATCCTCCTATTATATATAGCTTCTGTTGAGATCGTTGTGGTGCTGAGCAGAGGTTGTGTTGAACTATTCTTCCTGAATAGCAGAGATACGTCTCTATCTGGAAGTGGACTGAATCTCTATCCGTAAGCGCCTCTCTCTGCATTCTGTTTATTATAATCGGATAAATTTGCGTTCTTTAGATGTAATAATAATCATTTGTGTCGGTATAATTTGTGTCGGTTTTATTTTTATTTGTGAATTTGTGAATTAAACTCAGACTGTTTTGCAAGTAGATCAGAGAAGAAGGGTATGGCTGCTGTTTTGTATGTGTGGTTATTTGGAGAAATCATGGGTTTTTTTTTAGTAGTTTCTGTTTTTGTTTTAATTAATTCAAATGCTCTACAAAGTAGAGTTGGAAGGAATTGAGGAATTGTACTGGGTAATAGTGATATTGAAAGTTTTGGTAGAATTAATAATCAATCATTGTTATTTTTTTGTTTTGTTGCAGCACTCTCGGTTGATGATAGACATGATGGCTGGGAAGGTCTTGTTTCTCCTTTTTTGCTTGAATGTGATCTCAAATATAGTGGTAAAGAATCTTCTGAGTCTTCAATTTCGTATCTATTGGAGCAAAACAAACAGACTTTTATGTTGAAAGCTTATTCATTCAATTATTGTTTTGATCCTTATTTTGGTTCTGCTATGTGTCTGTATAAGGAATTATGAATCTTAAGTGCTGGTTTTCTAGGTTGTTATTAGGGACTGAAGTGGTATCAGTGCATCACTAAGACATTCAGGTGTTGTTTATAGCCCTTTCATTAAGTTTATCTTTGATGCAGATGGCTGCTGGTCCACCAACATGCCCTGCAGATATTAATAGTGATTGTGCAAGTGGCTCAGGTGAATGGGAAGGTGAATTCTTCCCTGGAATTCCCAAGATTAAATATGAGGTGAAAAATATATAATATTTCTTGCCTTATTGTATCATGAAAAAAAAAGCTTTCTTTCCCCTTGTGAAAAATTTCAGGATTTCCACAAATGTCTATTTTGGCTGCTGCGAAATTGCAATTTTTATCGCTGATACTGTTACATGCTTCCTTAATTGTTTATATAGGGTCCTTCTAGTAAGAACCCACTGTCTTTTAAATGGTACAACGCTGAGGAGGAGATTCTTGGGAAAAAGATGAAGGTAGGTGATTGGAATTCCTTTTAACTTTTTGGTTCAATATTGTACTCTAATTGTACTCTAACTACATTTTTTCTTCTTATAAATAGGATTGGATGAGGTTTAGTGTTGCATTTTGGCATACATTCCGTGGCACAGGTTCTGATCCATTTGGTGCACCTACGAAATTATGGCCATGGGAAGATGGCACTAACTCCCTGGCGATGGCTAAGAGGAGGAGTAAGAAATGCCATTTAACTTAGTTTAGTTAGGTGAGCAACTCTAGTTGTTTAGTCTTTACTCATTGTCCTTGTGTTAATGGTTGGTTTCAGTGAGAGCAAACTTTGAGTTACTAGACAAGCTTGGAGTGTCTCTGTGGTGCTTTCACGACAGAGACATTGCTCCTGACGGCAAAACACTAGAGGTAAGCCCTGTAAATATCATTCTATTTGTCAAATTTCTTTTGTACTTTGTACTTTAAAGTTGTGTGCTTGAATAACTGGGTTAAGGTAATTGTTCCAATGTAAGGTGTGTATGTAATACTTTGTTCTTTTGTTTTTGATGCATCTTTGCTTGTATATATGTATTGCAGGAGGCCAATGCAAACTTGGACGAAGTGGTAGCACTTGCTAAAGAGCTTCAGGTAGTTAGGAACTCTCGAAAGAATTGTGTTTGAAGTGTTATGACTTTTTTTTTTTTTTTTTTTTTTTTTTTTTTTTGCTTGTTTGGTACACTGCATAATTGGTGCTAACCTTTCTTTTGAAATCCTCCAATGTTGAGGCTTATAAAATGACCCTCTTTTAAAAAAAATTCAATTTTGGCAAAACAAGCACTTATATGTAATCTCTTAAAATGGATCCTGTATATGCTTTTTTGCCTATTGCTATTAGTTCACTTATAATGTTTGTCTCGAAACATTTCAGGGTTCAAAGATCCGGCCTTTATGGGGTACAAGTCAGTTGTTTGTGCATCCACGATACATGCATGGTGGTGCAACTAGGTTTGTTGTGCCTTGTTTGAACTAGTGTGATTATCATATGTATTTTACAACCCTTTGCTCATTGTTTCTGGTTTGAGAATTTTCAGCTCTGAATTAGGAGTATATGTCTACGCTGCAGCACAAGTCAAGAAGGCTATGGAGGTTAGCACTCCAGCTCTTTTATATATATATACAAAATTTTATAAGTTGGATTTTTGTAATGTATATTATGCACTGTATTTATGCTACTTTATGTGAATTGCAGGTTACACATTACCTTGGTGGTGAGAATTATGTTTTCTGGGGTGGCCGAGAGGGTTATCAGAGTCTTTTGAACACAGACATGGAAAGGGAGCTGAACCATTTGGTAAGGCTACCAAATAAAACTTGAAGTTACAACCTAATGTTTTTCGTCTTTCAATAAATGCAGAACATATGCTAATGAGATTTGGCATGTCAAAATACTCAATACTCAATGATTTGCACATTATAAATAAACCATTTATCTAGGAGAAGTTGGTACAAAGTGTTTTATTGCTTGGGCATAAATGGCTTCGTAATGTGTTTTATCTATTGAAAATTTGTGGTTTTAACTCGTGACAGGCAAGATTCATGGAAGCTGCTGTTGCTTATAAGAAAAAGATTGGATTTAAAGGTATTTCCATGTCCTTAATTCTCCCCACTTAAATGAGTCATCTGCTCTCTCTCTCTCTCTATATATAAACCAATTGGGTTTCATTGAATGACCTTTTTTCCCAGGAACATTGTTCATTGAGCCTAAGCCTCAGGAACCTACCAAGCATCAGTATGACTGGGATGCTGCTACAACTGCTAATTTCTTGCGGAAAAATGGGCTTATAGGTTATTATTGCCTTTTATAAATTGAATGTTGTTATTGCCTTTTGAATTGGTGTTTATTCGGGTAGTTGAGTTACATGGCCTTCCTCTAATAGTGAAAGGGATTAAATATTGAATGCAGATGAGTTCAAATTGAATATTGAATGCAACCATGCCACTCTGTCTGGTCACAGGTTTGTGCCATTCTGTTCCTGACCATTTTTTAACGAGCTTATCAAAGTAGTCTGTGCTCGTATTCATACTTCCATTTGCATTGCAGTTGCCATCATGAAGTTGAGACAGCAAGGATTAATGGTTTGCTAGGAAATATTGATGCAAACAGCGGCGATCCCCAAACTGGTATATATAGGATCAGAACTAACTTTAAACTATGGTTTTACTTCTTACTGACTGTCATAAATTTATGCAATACTGCAGGCTGGGATACAGATCAGTTCCCAATGGATGTAGCAGAAGCAACTCTCGTTATGCTCTCTGTTATTAAAAATGTATGTATGTCTAAAGATGTGTTGTTTATATTGTTCTGGATTTCGTGGGGGAAGATAATGAATGTTGTTTTGCTGTGCTTCAACCTCAGGGTGGGCTCGCACCAGGAGGATTCAACTTTGATGCCAAATTGTTAGTTCCCTTTTGCTCTTCATAATTTAGTGTTTCAATCATCACTCGTGTAAAACCTTTTACTGAAACCAAACCAAACATATTATCATGTTAAAGCATTAGAAGGTGTGATTCATTGTAGTATGAGTGACCTATTGACGATGATGTTTTGTTGTAATATGATAGGCGGAGGGAGAGCACAGATGTTGAAGACATCTTTATCGCTCATATTGGTGGTATGGATACCCTGGCCCGTGGCCTCCGAAGCGCTGCAAAGCTGATCGAGGTCTGCTGATTTCCATTTAATTCCTTCCTTATTAGCAATGATCTCACTTACTCCTACCAATTGGATGGGTTTCTAAAATCTGCTATTATATGTATATTGGAAAACAGGATGGTTCTCTGAAGGAACTTGTTCGCAAGAGGTACCAAAGTTTTGACTCTGAGCTTGGTGCTGCCATTGAGGTATTGCATCTCCTCGACTTATTCATCTTTGTAGGAGAGCCTGCTGTTTTAACTTCTAATGCGCAATAAAACGTTACGGGTTTCCTTTGATTAATTTATTATAGGGTGGAAAGGCTGATTTTGAACTTCTGGAGAAGAAAGCTTTGGAATGGGGAGAACCCAAAGTCCCTTCTGCCAAACAGGTAAGGATGCCGGCGATAGATATATAAAGTTGTTGTCTTTTTTGCACAGTAAACTGAAGGGCTGTTGTTTTTGCGCATTACAGGAACTCGCTGAGATGATCCTGCAATCTGCACTGTAGAAGAGAAGAGAAGAGACCCATCGCCATGTTTAGCAATTAGTATTAGTATTAGCTTTCCTATTAGCCATAATGACAGACAAGACAGTGTTTTAGTGTCGCATTCGTAAATGGTTAATCAAATACTCTACTTTCTACTCTAATAAATTATACCCCTATATTATATTTTACGCCAAAATATATGTGCAGTATTGTGGAAGGAGCTGAGCCCCTCGTACTAATACTAATATTAATACAACACACTTTCATTTTAACTAAAAAGTATAAATTCGGGCAATGAGATTTGTGGAACGAACGAATCATGCCTGTGTAACATTATAGTATTACGATTCTATATTATTGATCATGAATTGATGAATAATAATATCATAAGATCCAATAATATCATAAAATTCATGGCCATCGCCAATAACTGTTTCTAATATCATAAAATTCATGGATCGCCAATAACTGTTTCTAATATCATAAAATTCATGGCCATCGCCAATAACTGTTTCTAGAAGGTGAAAATGAAAGAGTAAATAATGATTTCTAAAACATAAACGCTATATGTTAATAAAAAATTATTATGCGTGAATACAATAATTGAGTATGTTAATAAGAAATTATAATATGTAAATGAAATAATTGGGGGTTTTGTTCGCTTGCTTTATATTCAATATATTGGGTATGTTTTGTTTTAATTAAAAATAAAAAAAATTGTACTTTTTTATTTAGAATAATTGTCATTACAATTTTAATATAATTCAGAGATAAAATTACAACATCAATAATAATTTAAGATGAAAATTAAATATAACCCGTGCTTAGACAAATTTCACAAACTTAAGGACGAAAAATGTGTAGGGGCAAATGATAAATGTCAGACTGTAAAGGTTGCATGGTCGAGGAAGGTTAGGTTAGCAGGTAGCGAGCGGTGAAGTCAATTAATATGTTATGTCTGCAGCCACATGATAAAACTCAGACATCATTTACTCCATCCATTTTTTCTGACATTGTTTTATACTTTTGGCCCTATTTCTTACTTTGCATTTAATTTTCTTGTGTTTACAGTTAAAATTATTCATTATTAAACTTGGCAATGTTGCATTAAACTTTTACTTTCTGATAACGATTTCACTCTGCTTACTGTATCCGTATACACCAAAAAGTGTTTGTCAAACATCGTACACTCCACTAACCAACCGACAAAATCTTCACTTTTAACAACCTGTGACCTGTCCATACCCACACGTTAGTCGCTCAACAGTTGCTGTAAAGATTCAAAATTACAATCCTTTTTTTTTTTCTTTTTAAAATTATATTTCTTATAAATTCTACATCTCTATACTCATAAGAAGATAAATTGAGTATCTAAATTATACCCTAACTATTTTTTGAGCAAAATGTGCTCAAACGATCATATTCTTTGTGCACAAGAAGCTCAACCTCAATCTTAAATTAAACTAAAATTGTGGAGTCCATCTTTAGATTGTCTAAGGGGTTTAAACTTTAAACTCTGGTTCTAGGTTGAAAGTGTGTTTTTAATATTTTGTTTTAAGAAAATAGGGTTTACCTTAATTTTTGTTAGTTGGCCTTTATTCCAATCCATTTATGTTACTTTCTAGCTAGCCCTTCACCCTATATGTTCATGCTTTGAAAAGAGTGATTCAGGTGCAAGTTTGAGTTTTAGAGTCTTCAAAAATGATGGTGGCTAGTAGCACATGTTTTCTCATGATTTTACTGTCGTCTCTCATGTTCTCCACTGTTCTTTCACAAATCAATGGAGCATCCTCAAATTTTACGAGAAAGCAAACATTTATAGTTCTTGTTGACCCTCACTCCAAGCCCTATCCTTTTGTTTCTCATGAAAATTGGTATTCTTCCCTTATCTCCATATCCTCTGCACCTATCCATGTTTACAACAATCTGTTTCATGGGTTTTCTGCCCGGCTTACGTTGGAAAATGCCAAATATGTGGAAAACAGTGATGGAGTTTTGGGTGTGTTTCAAGATTCTGTTTTGCAGCTGCACACCACAAGATCACCATCTTTTCTTGGGCTTCATCACTTGGAATCTCTGTTTGTCAACTCCACGTCTTCTGATGTTGTGATTGGTTTGATCGATACCGGAATATGGCCGGAAAGCGAGAGCTTTTCCGACGAGGGATTCGGTGACATTCCGAGTCGTTGGAAGGGAGAGTGTGAAGAAGGCGTGGGATTCAACGCTTCAAATTGCAATAAGAAGTTGATAGGGGCCAGATACTTTGTGGGTGGCTATGAAGAAGGTGAATCATTTGCCGGTGAATACCGGTCGCCCAGAGATTCCGACGGTCACGGTACCCATGTTGCTTCCATTGCCGCCGGCGCTCCGGTGCCGGACGCCGGGTTTTTCGGGTTTGCCGGCGGGTTGGCGAGGGGAATGGCTCCGGGAGCCAGAATTTCGATTTATAAGGTTTGTTGGGCTTCCGGTTGTTTAATGTCCGACGTTGTTGCTGCATTTGATAAAGCCGTTTCCGACGGTGTTGATATTATTTCATACTCTCTAGGATTATCCCAACTGCCATTTTACCTTGATTTCTTAGCAATAGCAGCGTTCCGTGCGGTCCAACGAGGTGTACTCGTCGTGGCATCCGCCGGTAACGAAGGACCGTTAACCGGAAGCATCACGAACGCGCCGCCGTGGATTCTGACAGTCGGCGCCGGCACTCTTGACCGGAGATTCCCAGCTCTCGTTCATCTCGGAAATGGCCAAATATTGTCAGGCGAATCTGTCACCTTATCAACCCGATCCATATTGGGTCGTTATCCACTCCAACTCCATCTCTTACGTAACGTCACATCTTCTTCAAGTTTTGATTTCTCCCGCCAAGACATCGTCGGAAAAATCGTCCTCTGCATGCTCCATAAACATGTCCCACGGTTGTCCCTCGGCATGTTCCTTAAAAAGGCCGGAGCTTTAGCCATGTTAATCTCCCATGGTGAAATTGACCCGGAAGGCCTTATCTCGGAGCCCCATGAAATACCCACCATCACAATTGGTGTGGCAGAAGCCCAGATGGCAGCAGATTACATACTGGCCAATGAAAATCCGGTGGCCGCCATTTCTTCCGGTGGAACAGTTTCCAAGCATGCAAGATCTGCCCCTACAGTCGCCTCCTTCTCGTCAAGAGGACCCAATTCTATGGTCCCTGCAATTTTAAAGCCTGATATTATCGCCCCAGGGGTTAATATCTTAGCGGCTTGGACCGGCGCCGTAGGGCCATCCGGGATCGCGTCTGATGATCGGCGGTCGAGCTTCAATATTTTATCCGGCACGTCCATGGCGTGCCCTCATGTGGCCGGAATCGGGGCGTTGATTAAATCGGTGCACCCAAATTGGGGTCCGAGTGAAATCAAATCTGCCTTGATGGCTACCGCCTCAATTCAAGAATCATTTTATCACAAATCGATCCATTTTTCGCCAATTCAAGACGAGTCTACAAATAATACAAGTAACCCGTTTGTTATGGGAGTGGGACATATACATCCCAAACGTGCCATGGATCCACATTTGGTCTTCGACACTACACACCAAGACTATATACATTTTTTTTGCAAATTGAACTATACAAAAAAACAGATCAAAATCATAACGGGCAAATCAAATATATTTTGTTCAAATTCAGACAACGATGACTTGAATTATCCGGCCATCATCGTGGATGAAGAGGTAGCACGAGGCGGAGTTGCATTGGTACGGAGGTTGAAGAAGGTTTCTGAAGGAGTTGAAGAGTACGAGGGCAAAGTGGTTGGACCAAGAGGATATTATAGGATGAATGTGAGGCCTAAGAGGTTAAAATTTCATAGAATAGGGGAAAGATTGAAATTTACAGTAAATTTGAAGGGGCAAAGTAGGAATAGGAGGGATTTGTGGGTAGGGGCCATAATATGGAGGGAGAGAGTGCAAAGACATAAGGGGGTTAGGTGTCCCATAATTATCTACCCTACAAATGCATAGCATGTAATTAAATTTAATTAATTTGTTGAAAAATGCTAGCTTCTATTTAATTTCATTTTAATTAATGAGGACTAAACTATTCCAATCTTGCATGTTTTGAATTTTTCAAATAATATTTCATTATCTAGATTTTCCAATAAAATAAATGTGAAAGTCTAAAAATCAAGAAATCCTAACTTATAAATTTAAATCAAGAAATTTTGATCTAATAATCAGGTAACACCAAAATATACATACATACACAAATTTATACATAAGAAGATATAAACCATTCAATATAAATAAATCTAATATAAAAATATAACAAAAGAATTGAATATCATCCGAACTATATATATTAGTATGACAACAAAGAGTTTGTATATATGTTTTCCATAGTTGTCTCTCCACTAATAACTAAAAAAAAAAAAAAAAACTATTAGTAGTAGTTGGATCTATCATGGATGGAGGAGTACGTCTTGGTCTACCATCTAAGCTAAGCTAGGAACTGATTAGTATCGTATTCTTCTTCTTCATCATCATAATGAGCAGCAGTCTGAGCCTGAGCCTGTGTGGTGGTGGGTTGTGGCGCTTGCGAGTAGTTGTGGTGGTGATGATTATTAGTATTATTTCCATTGATGGTGGGGTGTGGTAGTGCTTCCATTAATTCCGAGTTGTGGTGCTGATAATAAGAATGATGATTTCCATTGAAGCTGGGGTGTAGTGCTTGAGCTTGCCAGTTGTGGTACTGATGATGATAAGGAAGACAATGAAGATTATTTGCTGCATTGATGCTGGGTTGAGCTGAGGTACTTGTGCAGCTTGAAAAGTAGTAGCTAGTAGTGTTTTCAATATGGCAATAATTCTCTATAAAATTATTATTATGATGATGAAACACATTATTATCCTCCTGCTGCTGCTTCTGATTATGATGGATAATATTGGTCGTCTGAGGAGGTGGAAGCAGTTGGTTCCACATTATATGTGAAGGAGAATGGTATGGAGGTGCAGTAGCAATAGCATCTGGAGGAGCTATGTGATGATGATAAGATGATGATAAGGCCGCCATTTCAAGGTGGTTTTGATGGCTAGTGTTAGAGCCGCCGCCGCACACATTCTCCGGGACATCATCATCATTTTCAACAACATCCTTATCCTTATCCTCGTCCTCCTCGAGCTTCTGTTTCCCCTTGCTGCTGGGATTATTATTCTTGCTGTTCAACTTATCATTCTTATTGTAAATCCTACACAGCACCCAGTCGTCCAACTATATAATGCACATCAAACAATTGTTAATTACCATTAAATTATAAATTAAAATAATTAAAGATGATGGGTTGAATTACTACATACTCTCATTTCATCCAGACTCCTATCACATTGTGGACCATTCTCCACTCTATACTCATGCATTATCCAAGGGGTTTTATCGCCATTGGGTGGCTTGCTCTCATAGAAAACCAAAGCCTTTCTACACCCAACTTTATTATTTGTCTCAGACTCTAATATATCCTTATCGGCGCCAGTAGCTTTCCAGTATCCGTTCCCCGCTGCCCGGTTCGGTCGCTGCCCATTCCTGTACTTGCGGTTTCTTGGAGTGAAGAAGTACCATTCTTTATTTACGCAAGAATCCTTAAACTTCGCCTCTGCCGCATGCATATATGTAATATAATTATATATATTACAATAAATATATACAAATTATTAAATTAAATGGTATATATATATATTATAAATATAAATTACTCACGACAAAGTGTTTCAGGATTGTATTCGTAAAGGTTGACATCATTGATCTTGTTACGAGGTAGGCGCAGATTATTGACCTTCTTGTAAAGGTATTCAAGAATGAGCTCCTGGTCGGTGGGGTTAAAGATATAACCAGGTGGCAGATGTCGGAAGAACACTTCATCGCTGATCTGTCCTAGAAAAAGTTCAATGTTGTCAATGGAGTATTGCTCAACATCGCCTGAAACGGAGCTTATGGGTTCAATAGCCATTACTAGCTATAGAGTTTTAGGCAGTGGATCGATCGGAAAAAGATAGATCACACAAACTACACGCTGCTGAAATTGTTTTGACCTCAACCCGATGATATATATAGTTAATATAAAGACTATGTAGCGACAAAACTCTAGTTCTTGTGTTTTACATGAGATAGAATTCGATAATTTCGAATCAAAGATTTTTGTTTCATTATCCATCTTTACTAGTTGAAAAATATTAATTAGAAATAAATATTTTATTTGAATTTAAAATATATATATATATATATATATATATATATATATATATATATATATATATATATATATATATATAGCTCTGAAATAGATAATTGAATTATGATTTATGTGTAAAGATTAAATAAACAAAAATTAAATTTGGGTTATACCCGATGCAAATTGACATAAGGTCAATCGGCACCTTATACATGTAATACCAAGTGGCTTGTGGTCCACTGGTATCGGATTGCTCCCCTATGTGGGAGGTTTAGGTTTTGAACCTTGTTATAGGCGTAGTTTGTATGGGTATCCCCTTTCCTTTGTAATAACCTTATACATGTAAAAAAAAAAAAAATTGATTGAATTATAATTTGTATGTGAAGATTATTAGTATTATTATTTTGCTAATGTAGTACATTATTAACAACAACAAAAAGTAAAAAAGTATATAAATTTTAAGGGACATTTGACACAATGAAAAGTGCATGCCCACAAAAAGTTTTAAACTTTTTATATTGTGTTGGATGCAAAAGACATTTAATTTATAATGATCATAACCCTTGACCAAAACAAAACATAAAGCAAAGGACAATGTATTTCATTATTTAGGCTAAATATACAAATATGGACAGAAATAAAAGGTATTATTTTAAAATAGCGTTTGGCTACACATAGGCGGCATAGCTATTTGTTAAATACTTAAATTAACAGTTGAATTGAAAATTAAACGATAATATTGACCAAACAAGAAAAATACAGGAGTCAATGGTCAGTGTATTATGGGTTGAATATCCATTACTAGTGTATTATGGCAAACTCTAGTTGTTGTATTTTACATGGGATATAATTCGATAATTTCGAATCAAAGATTTTAGTTTCATTATGGATCTATAGTAGTTGAAAAATATTAATTAGAGATAAATATTTTATTTGAATTTTTTTTAAAGTTAATATTATTTATATCTATTTTATATTATTAAATTTAAGTCTACAACTAATTATTTCATGTGTATTATATCAGTGGGCCTTTAGGGTTGGGGTTCAGCATTTTTTTTTGGAAGAATGTGTATTATATCTGTCAGTATATTATGCAAATGCGAATATAAATCTTTAAAAAAAAAAAAAAAAAAAAAAAACCCCTCATACAGAAGATAAATAATTGCAGACATGATCAATAATTAGAGATGATAGTTGATAGATAAATATAAATCAAACTAAATCACAGATAAGGAATAGCAAAGAGATTACAGGAAATAAAAATGAGATAAATCTAAGGTAATATTTGAGAGGACTAGTACCTAGTATAATATTACATAGTTATATTGATTGTAAAAAAGAAGTTTGAATTATAATTTTTGTATAATGATTAAATAAAAAAAATTGGTATATTAACAAAAAATAAATAAACTGCAAATATGGTAACATTTGACAATTGTACCAACTATTTCGTTATCAATTAAACATTTTATATATTTGTCAAGGACCTTGTGGTCTGGTAACAGTGTAACACTATTGGAAATTATGGAATTTTTGACTGTCGATCCTCGTTGTTGGATTTCATCGTATGTGTGCACCTCGTTATGGCCTAGTGTGCACTTTTTGTTCATGTGATATGTGTGTGCATTGTAAACTTGACGTGTTCGTGCTATAGTACATATCCGTGTGCATTTGTTTGTACTGGTGCATGATGTGTATGTGGGTACTTCAATATAATGTGAACGTGTGCACAAATAATGTAATTTTAGAGTGTGTTAAGTGGTGTCATTCTATAATGTACACGATGTTGTGCATGAATGCACACCGTCACATAGAGCACTTCACAACACCTCATTTTAATGTCTGTCTACTCCACGTGTTTGTCTCTCTAAATGATTAAAGCATCCAACATTAACAAAACAATTAAATTTTCTTATATTTAATAATAATAATAATAATAATAATAATAATAATTTATTACTTAAATGAAATTATTTAATAATTTAGAAACTCCTATTTTGTCGTTAACTTACCTATTTGGACGGGATTTTAGAATTTTTAATTTCTTGAATTGATTTGCCCCTTAATTAACATTTATAAGGATTTTGATTATATTGTTGATCATGCGCATCAATTTAAAGTGTTGACTTTTAATTATAGTAGTTGATCTCTTTTTTTTTTTCTTTTTTTCTTTTTTTATGACTAAGATTTGTCTATAATTTTTATAGTAGTTGAATTAAAAATTATGATAGGATAATTCTCAATTTGAAAGTAGAGTAAAAATGTCAAATGGGCTGGATTGTAATAGTCGAATAGGAACAAGCTTAAGTATTATTTCGAATGGGCCGGGGCTAGCTAGTATATATATATATATATATATATATATATCATTTCATAAATATTGAAACTATTACTTATAATCCTATCCTTATTACTCCATATATAACTTAAATTGGTAAGAGTCTTAAGATTGATAAGAATTTTAAATATAATTAAGAATAATTATAAATTCCGATCGGACAATTAATATATCATGAACACATTTGGAGTAATTGAGTAAATACCGGCAGAGGTCCTCCGACTTTGATGGCATTGTCACTTTTAGTCCTCAACTTTTAAATTAACCACTTTAGGTCCTCTTACTTTTTGTTTCTAGTCATCTATGGTCCTTTCGTTAAACTTGACCATCTAATGCCGTTTTCTAAAAGATAATTCAGTCCTTTCATAATTAATTTATTAATTATTATGTTTAATTTCCTCATCAAAATAGTCAAATAATGGTTTCTCCAGCTATGAACGTGTACAAAACCAGCTAATTAATCAAAATGGCGTACAAAAGCTGGTACGAAGGTTGTGCCAAAACGACGTCGGGATATCTCGGTATGACTCGGCAAACATAATAATTAATAAATTAATTATGAAAGGACTGAATTATCCTTGAAAAAACGGCATTAGATTGTCAAGTTTAACGGAAGGACCATAGATGGCTAGAAACAAAAAGTAAGAGGACTAAGAGTGGTTGATTTAAAAGTTGAGGACTAAAGGTGGCAGTGCCACCAAAGTCAGAGGACCTCCCCTAGTATTTACTCACACATTTGAATTGATCATGACATTCAATTAATTAAAAGGTAATTCAAATTAATATTCAATTCAATACAAACATTTACAGTATATATATTTAGCAATCATATAATATCTATAATTAATTGATAAATGAACACGAACTGTAAACTCAACGAACATAAAAAATTCAATCTAGTAGTATGCAAACTGATCTGAGGATAACCAAACATTAGGCCGTTTTCGATCGCTAATTAATTAATACTCTAATGAATACTACGTAAGATCGGAGCGCTAGTTGGTGCTAAGGTATTCCGGCAATATATCCGTCGTGATGTCCGTTAAGTTTATGCCTAGAGAAACGTAACGTACTAACGGAAGAAGCGCCGGCGAGGGAACAGTGTGCCGCCGTCCTGACGCTCTCTATCAACGCCTCGGTGCGACCCTCCTCCGACAGTATCTGCGACAGTTGCTCGGAACTGATGACCAGATTCACCTTCCACACTCCGCCGCTGTTGTATCTCGGAAAAACTTCGGCAGCTCCCACGTTATTGTTATTGTAATAATCGCACGGCTCCCTGTGATTGCGATATCCCCTGGGCCTGGTAGTAACGCCGTAAGTGCTATAATCATCGGGAAGCTCTAAACCTCTGCCCATCATTGTGTTACTCATCTCCTCCGTTTTCTCACCGTTATCACTCACGCCAAACCCTCTGGACATGCAGTTTCCCATTTTCACATTTAATTTGCTCGCTATAGCTTAAAGCTGATCGAGGCGGGCGTGATATGATGAACCGTACGTGATCGTCGGATATATATATTATTTGACTTTCCCCTTTCAAACAAAAATAATTTTGATTGATTGGTGGCTAATATATACGGAGTATATATTTACAATATTCGCATTCAATTTTTATCTATAGAATTTATATTAAATATGGTAGTGCCACCTCATAATATACCACAACTAGTCTCTGTGTACTCGTGATGTAACATTTTATGGGTGCATGAATGCACAAATTTTGACCTATTCTAAAGCACATTAACTTCTTTTTTTTTTTCTTTTTTTTTTTGGTCCGGGGGCGGGGGGGGGGGGGGGGGGGGGGGGGGTTGTAAAATCTTTACTTTTTGGAGGGACAAAAATAAGTATTCATTCTTTCCTTTCCTTCTACCAGGGTGAAGAATCAAAGAGAGCCTTAGCAATGAAGTTCTAAAAATACTTATAATGTATCAGTGTTCAAGGAATGTAACGTTATATATATTAAAAAACATAATAAGTAATTAGTTCAAGAAATGTTTCATTACATGCATGTTATTATCATGTCGATCTTTTTTTATTATAGTAAGATATATATATTTTTGAATGTTGATAGAGACCAACTAAATGACATAAGTTTGAGGCTTTATGATATGTATAAAAGAAAATAAATAATTGGTGCCTTGGTAATTTAATTAGTAGAATGTCTAAAAAAAAATGAATCATATGTAATTAGAGGATAATTGACTAAATATTAATATAAGGAAATTATGTATATTATAATATATCATTACCTTGTATAGTTAGAATAATTTTAGTAACTTAATTATTATATATGTGACAGTAATTTAATATAAATAAATCCATTGCATATGAATATCAGGAATCATTTTTGGAGTTTGCCGTGACTCGAATACGATTAAGAGTTAAAAATTTGCTAGAAAGGTTCCCTATCTAGGGTGGTAACACTCTATACATAAAA